CATTGCCCACCCGCCGAAAAAGTGGCGGGTGTATTCATCCTCTCACATAACTTCTATGTCATTGCCGTCGTTGCATGTCTTCAAGCGAGAACTGTATGTATGCACGAAGCGACATGCCATTGAAATCTGCGCTACTCCTGCAGGATTCTATTGTCTATGCTGCTATTGCTCTTACGGAGTGTGTGTGCTTCCGCGGTTTGCCATTAAACCCTTACGACGAAGCCTTGGTTGAACACCTTCGGCCTGACAACCAAAAAAAATTAAAGCCCCAGGCCACAAGCCTAACCACTAAGAGCCTGAATCCCAAACTTTAAGCACCAAAACCCCCAAAACTCTAATACGCTGATACGAAAGTATCCTAATACCCCCAAACCAAAACCCCGTAAAATTCCGGCCATTGCCTAGTTGCTCTTCACAGCGGCGGATGGCGCTTCGGCAGAGCTCCTCCGCAAAAGTCGGTCTTGCCATGTTCTGTGGCAGGGAACCATGCTTACGGTTTAGGGGCCGGTGATTTTCGGGTTGAGTTAGGCACTTGAGGCTCTATTTTGGCTTTCTATCCAGTTTGGAGCTATGTAGGGTCAGGGTTTCAGGGTTTCAGGGCCCCTATAACCCACAAACTCCAAACTTCAGTAAGCCCTTGATGCAGTGGAGACTACCCCCTAGCCTCGCCTCGGCCCTTTCCATGTTGCCTTGGCCTAGGAGCTTCGTGGCCAGGCCGGTGGTGATGCCTCAGATTGTCTTGGGATTAGGGTAACATGTCTTCACAGCTTGGTTCGCCTTGGGGTTTAAACCTTTCAGGGCTTCAAGCTCGGTGGTTTTTGGTGCTTAGGTCGATGGCTAAGGCTCACAAGCCTGGCCCAGGGTCGAGGACTTCGCGGACATCTAGGAACGAGTGGGCCTGCTTGTATGTTAATTTATCGCCACCACGCCAGCCCGAAAGCCACCCAACCCACATGAGGCTTCAGATCAGAACACAAGGAACCCCTCATCTACGCCCTACATGATCGGATCCTTCCAAAGAGAGATCCCTCGTTCTCAAACTCCCCAACTTTCAGCTCAGCCCAGGTGCTCAGAGCCTTCACAAGCTTCCCGATGCTTCGCAAGAAGGTGCTCAAATCCTAGCAAGTGTGGGTCCGGTCGTGTCGGACCCTGAAGCTCCCTTACCTCCCAGGAAACCCATCTTGAATCTTCTACCATTTTGATTCTTCCTGCTAAGATCTTCTAAGTATATTGCGAGCATGAACGGAGCACGAGCTTGAAACCCTCAATGGGGAGGGCTAAGTAGCAGGGTTTCAGACCGCCAGGGTAATGAGGTCGCCGCGCACCCCTCTTCCCATGCGCATCCCCCCTTCTTCTTTTGGAACCGCAATACAGAACTCGTGAACATGCAAGCCTCAGAAGGCCAGAAATCCGAGCCTTGCAACAAAAACGAAGCAGCACTCGTGCAAGTAGAGTGGAATCTTTCAAGCCTGCCCTGAAGGCACGACTATACTGAATCGTGGGAAACCACACCGCATGAACTCATACCGTACGAAACCCTCCAAGCGGAGACCCGCCGTCGGTCCAGGGCCGCGCTCAGCGTGGCTGGATGAGAGGAGCCGAACTGGTCCTCCCCCGCCTCGCCATAGATCGTTCCGGCAGTACGAAGACTCGGCTTTATTGAGAACGCGATCTTGCTGCATCTCGACGCGGATGTCCCTGTCTTAGCGCCCAATCTTGACTAAAAGACCCTAAATCCGATTGTTCTTGTGTCCGTAGTTGCGAAGACCATGCGCTTCTTGAGCTCGTTGGTCGAATTGTCTACACAATCATACAAGTGCGTCATGTTGGGACGGACAACGAAGTGTCGGCTTTTCTTCGTCCCGCATGGCTGGCGGATGTAGTTTACATTTGTTCTATTATTCTTGGTGTTGTTTTGCAATCAACTCCCCTGCCGTGAATAAACTTGTCATGTCCGGAAGCGAGGTTCAAAATCCAGGGAGTTCGGCTGAAAGCCTGTGCCTATGCCCTAGCACACTGCAAACCCCTAGACACTCATCATACCTGTTACCTTACTTGGTTTGGGGTCTAATGGTGTCTTCGTGTCCTTTCGGTAGGGATTCGGGCGCGCGGAAGCAAAACATGTAACTTACTGCCCCAACTACGGAGTAAGACATTGAACCGGTAAGAGCCCCCAACAACACATGCTTGAACGTTTTGGTCTTGGAGACCCTGAACCGCAGAAACTAAAAACTCAGGCTCCCTCTTCTGCTGAAGATGGCCTGCAGCGCACGGCGGAAGAAGTCCTCAGCCTCTGTCAATCTGCCCTGCTCCTGTCAAGCAGCGAGCTCTTGTACAGTAAGGGACTTCGGACTGGGGTGTATGAGTATGTCTATATGTACGGAGCTTGAGGGCAAGCCGAGAGATGGACAAACCCGGCGAGGTCCTGTGGTGACGCAGGAATCTCATGTCCAAAATGCGGAGGCGAAGTGGGAAGTGGGGGCAACTTCAATCGACGAGGTCTTGTGCTACCTCAGCGCTGGACCCCTGACCTAAACGGGCGAATCGTATTGGTAAACATAAACCTCCACCGATACAGGCTAGTTCAGGCTTGACCGCGGTTGAGGGTCCTGGAGTTTTCGCAGAGTACAAGAAGGTTTGGAGAAGCACAACGAAAAAAATAGATGTTAAGTTTCGAATATTTAATCAGATTCCTCAGGTACCTTGTTTTGGAAGGTCCGGATGCAAACTGCTGGCGAGCAGTACAGGTATAAAGGTGACCTTGGGCGGTCGGTTTGCAGCCATGGCTTGAAATGACCAAAAACTCTACGACATGGAAGAGCAAGCCCAACAAAAAATGGAACCCTGAAGCAAGCCGGTTCGTCCTGGGCGATGCGAGCTAAGAAGGTGACAGTGCCGATCGTGTCCGGATGCATAACGCCCATTTGATCCTTCTCAGCCACGGCTCCGGATCTACCCATAGGCTCCATAGTCCCCAAAAAGGAACTACTTAGAGCCTATGGGTAGAGTTGAATGTTGAAGGTTCAGAAGTCTACCGTTGGGCATGCGGGGTCTGGAGTCCGACATGTTTTAAGACTGTATAGGCTGAGGTTTAGCAAACACATCTACCTAAGATTCGTCAACATAATTATTGACATAAACCCTAGTTACGTGTAAGAGCGGGTCATGGTTTACCCCGATCTCCCAATGTAATTTGTGTTCAAACTCACTCTCTCTCTCTCTCTATATATATATATATGCAATATATATTACAGTTACAGTACATCGCTGGATCCTTGAGCCGGGAAGCATGAACATCTGAAGATGTCCTTCAAAACCTGATGCCAGCAATACTCATTAAGACTTGCTTTCATTGGAGCCTGCGAATAACCTTCTTCCATGGCACCCCGAAACTGAGAACTACAACCCTAAGACCTACATGAAGTTCCAAACATCCAGATCGTGCATGTCATAACCTTCCCTGACGCCCGAAAAGCCTTAAAAAAAAAGCCCTGAAACGTTCCTCAGCCCTCCGGCTGACAGTTGGGTCCTCGAGACCGGTCAGGGCTTGCCGTAGGCGCTCCCCTGCTTTAAAGACTTTGCCTCTCCTGCCGTCACAGAGTCTTCAGTCTTCGGGTTTGAGACGGGTTAGGAGTGTAGGGCTTTTGCGGTGATGGGCGCTTCTTGGAGGGCTTCAGCTTGGGAATGGCTTCAGAACAACCGCAATGCAGCGCGAAAAGGGCAGGGGAGAACCTCAAGCTCTCACGGCTTGGCTTCCAGTCGTGTCCATCTAGCGCCGTCTAGGTGTTTCGCTATTCCCGGGTCGATCTGGGCCACATGGAGCGGGTCAGAATGAGCACCGATGGAACGGGATGGACGGCAACTGCAGGTCGGGCGAACTGCAGAGTTGTCCCTGAACCAGACTTGAGATGCACCCATGCTACGAGCCTTTTCCCAAAAGTGCGGGCAGCCAACTAAGCCCTGCGTCAAGTCGATAAGTCTACAAGTGAAAGTAGGTCGACCTCGGCCCTGAAGTTGCGGCCCGCGCGGCTTGTGAAGGAGGTGTCCCAAATCGATCAAGGCGTGGAGGGTCCAGGGGTGCCTGCGTCTCTTTCTCTTGGAGCTTATAAAGCACCCCTTGAACCCTCAACCTCGTCTTTGTTGGGGTTTCGAAACAAGAGAGTTGTGCCGGGTTTACAAGGTAGCGGCCATGAATGCGAGCGTATCCCGCAGAATCCCAAAGGCCCACATACACTTCACTCAACACTCCCCCTTGAGGCCCCAACTTCCGACACTCGGACCCAAACCTTACAGCTAAACCCGAAACCCCAAAACCCTAAACCGAAAGATGGATCCGAGGAGCCAGGTGCCCCAGCGCTTCTCACTGCCACTGGCCGCGCCGGTATGAAGCTTCTCCTTGGAAGTCTGCGGTGTGGTGACTTTTTGGAAAGCCTCATGCGTATAGAGTCAAGAGTTTTGGGCTGAGGAGCAGGCGTTGGGTCGGTTTGGGTCAAGGGCTAAGTGTTGAGGATGCAGAGCTGTACGGCCCTTGGTGTTGTGGGTTGTCAGTGATTGGGGATGCTGGGTCAAGGATATTGAAATACAGTCTGCTGAGGGCTGTGTATTCCGCTCCGGCTCAGGCCCAGCTTCTGCGATGCATTTTCCAGCTGAAACACCTTTCCCTGATTCACGTACCTTGGCGTGCCCAGGTAAGCCAGGGTACACGCACACAAAGAAGTCCATGGCTATGTATGCAAGTGAGTTCGTCCGGGTCAGTATGTTCCGTGCAAGATACATATACGACATCCCAAAGTTACACTATACCTTGTTTGAGTTTGGCTACATCAGATCCAAGCTAGCCGAGCGCTGTCAAAACCCAACTGCCTGCAGTAGGAGCCCCCAGATCACCTGGACATAAACTTCTTATGGAAAGATCATGTGCGATCCCTTCAAGGATCCCTACGAGGGGATTCAGTGGCGTGTTTAGGTGCCATTTTTTGCCGCTCATTCATCCAAGGGTCTGCTTCCATCAGCTCGCCCAGGTCCTGCAGTGCTGCAGTGGCTCTGCTGGGGGCTTTTGACTACAGACATTCTGCGCAGTGGCTATGCTATAATCATAGTCACGGTTCCTGTTGCATTTGATCGTAGGGACGAGCCAAGCTGGCTGAAGCTATAGAGCAGCATTGTTGAAACTTGAGATGCAGACGAACCGAAAGCGATAGGATCATGTCGGCAGAAGATCATCCTTTCTTCTTCACCGAACTTCAGACTCAGCTTTGGATCTCACGCTAAGCCCGAAACAGTGGCCTTCAGGAGACTGGAGACATGACGGAGGGACACGAGCGTGTCCTGAGCTGGTGCAGTCGAGGTGAAGGTTCGGCTGTTTCGGGCTGCAAGTCTCTGAGATCCAGGAAAGCGGAGGAGCTTGAGGAAACTAGTCTCATCATCATTATGGATATCGCTATTCTGAATTATTACTGTAACTATTCTGTTACCATTCTTAATTAGCGCAGTCTTACTATCCTTGGTTGGGGCCCCTGTTCGCCGAGGCTCGGGATGCGCCGGTCCCAGGAGCTCCTCCCGGCCTGTCAGGTGCTGGGTTTCTTGGTTTTAGAAATCTCAGGGCATAGGGTTACTGTAACGTGTTGGGGGTTGGGCCAAGGGGTAGGGGTTTTCGGTCTTGGGGTGTTGAGCTTCAGGCTTGAGTCTTTGCACTCGCGAGCTTCGTGAGGACGCGGCATTCGAGAATTGTACACACAGGTCTATCCTCTCAGCAGGAATCAAAATGGCAATGTCCCATTCAAACCAAACGACAAAGCTCTGCGGCAGCCCCGGCATGTTCCAGGTACCATAGCCAAACCTAAAAACCGCAACCTCCTACAGTAGAAGCCCAAAAGTTGGAAACCCAATAGCCTCAATCCTTAAGAGCAATGTATAGGGAATCCCAGCACTATTTGTCCTTAATCCGGTTTCCAACTTTTCGGGGCTTACTATATCCAAATGGAGGATTTCCTAGCAGCCTCTATCGGGTCGTTAGACCGGGTAAATGCAGGTCGTGCCCTGTCCCTTGCTTCAGGGTGCCAAAATGCTCCAGCGAAAGTTGAGGAGCGTCCGATCCCTTTCGAAGCATAGCCCCAAGACCCTGCTTGTACTGGGGCGAAGCAGCAGTGCTCCAGAATCGCAAGCACATGCAGCTTGATGTCGGCAGTCGGGATGTGATTTTGTCATTCAAATTGGATGTGGGGTTTGATATTGGGGATTTGAAGTCTACGCTTAAGGGTGACATAGCAGAGTCTACAAGAATGGCGCAATGCGCAGCATGATGGTGCAGATTGAACATCAGGAACCCGAGGTGCCCTGCACCGCAACAGAAGGATAGAGCCCAACGCATAGAAAAGTAGCCTTAGGACACTACGACTCGGACCACATCGTTGCAATGTGTGGGCCTACTTACATCAAACATATCAGCCCCGGAACTTCTAGAACACTAGCAAGAGGGAGTGTGTAGCCGAAGACTCTGAGCACATGCTCTTTTCCTTATCACCCCGGTCCGGTCTCCGAGCCTTAATGGGTTCTATCCCTTCTCTTGTCCCAGGAGGCCACGGCTTGCATCCCACAATCCCAGTCTAAGACATCGAGATAGGCTGACACCCCGCAACTTAGACCCCGAAATCCATCCAGACCCAAAGCCCTCGGCTCAACTCCAAACCTCAACTCCTAAATCGGAAGCCCTCGCAGGCCTCGGAAAGATTTCTTCAGGAGCTCTTCCGCTTCCAGTAGATCGCCATTACGATGAAGCAAAGCGCCTTTGCCGGCATCTCGGATTTGGGGATTTGAGTTTCTAGCAGGAAAGCTTAGAGGGTTGATGATGTGTTTAAGCGGCCTTTTCTCTCGAGTGCCCTGATTAGGGGCCCTTCAAGTCTTTCCACCTCACCTTCTTTGTTGCTTCCACTGTGCAGCCAAGCCCCGGAGTTAGGGAAGCCAGAGGGAATCACGTGAGGGCTCTTGGGGCTCTGTGCGTCTTTCGTATGGCTTGGACGGCAAGCTCACTGGCTTTAGGATCCTTCCTCTGGGCCCTGGGCGATGGCTACGCTTGGGAGAGGAACCGAACCCGTCCGTTCATGTCGCAAACTGGGGAATCCACGAGCTAGGATCTCAAAACCCTTTATCTTATAAATTCCGTGTGCCGGGATCCTATAGCAGTCACGCCCGAACTCCCGCATGGTGCCGCATGAGCCCAGTCTAAAAACTGCAGACTGTGCAAGCTGAGCCACGGCATCAAGGGAGCCACCCAAGCAATCTCTAAACCCAAAGCCCTCGTCACACTGTCGAGTTGCCGATACCTCAAGCCCCGTAGCCCCCGAAACGGGAGCCCCGAAGACTAACTTGAAGCCATAAGTCAAGTCCTTTGGCACCTGAAAAAACCCTGAAACACACAGCACAGGTGGCAGAAAGCCTGCAAGACACCACCTTAATCGAGCCTGCGAGCCCGGCACACGAAATGCCTGCAAAGCGAAAGCTTTGCGGAAGTAGCATGAAGAATCTCATCTTCAGACCAAAGGTGATAAGACCCTCGTCAAAATCTAAACAACTCCGGAAAATCTCTACACGACTCCGGAATATCTACAACATGATCAAAAGAGTATGTGCATTTCTGCACAGATTCGGCAGACTCCTTTTTTCGAAAATCTTACTCCTCGAGAATCCCAGCGCTATATACCACGAAGGCCAGGTTCGGCACCAAAGTCATCCGTGTAGGCGAGGGTAGCGGGGTGCGAGGCGCCCAGCCTTGACTGCATGGGAACAAGACTAAGATGAATGAACGGCCCAAACCTAAAACTGAGCAGGACAAAGCTCTTGGTGACAGTCCACTCCTCTCGTGACTCTATTGGTCCAGAATTGTATCTTACGGACAGGGAAAGAGAGCTGCGCAAGGCTTCGGGGCGCAGGGTTTGGGATGTTGGATTTGGAACCGTGAGCTTGAAACCTAAGCATGAGAAAGCTGGGCAGTGATGGGTTTCTGTAGAATGCTGCAACCGTGTTCAAAGGTTTCTTTCAAGGGTTCCAATTGGGGTTTAAGGATTTCGGGGTTTGGGCTGGGGGATAAGGGACCCAGTCACCAAACAGATAAGTTTGCTTTGTGTTTGGGTTTGCGCGTGTGCAAGGGGTTGGTCCTGGTCTCCTGGTCATGATCAATTCCCAGCTCCATGCAATGCCGGAACACCCTCCCACTCCCAGTCCTGCATAGCAGAATGCCCGACAACACCCCCAAACTGTACAAGAAGAACTGAACCCGACATCCCCAACATTAAACTCGTATACACGCTACACCAAGAACTGCCCTAAATCCAATTCCCTAAACCAATATCAATAAACACATAAACCCTGAACCATCCGAACCGCCGAAATACCATGAACTGGGCAGGGCGGCTTCTTGCGGGCATCTCGCACCGCTCGTCGGTAAAACTTCTTGGACTGCCAAGACAGGAGGCCGTGTGGGAGCCATTCCACATTTAGGGTTCTGGGTTTAGGGTAGGACATGCGTGTTTCCACGTCATTCACCATCGTACAGTACGTTGTGGGTTAATCGTACGAACGCATGCATAGTGCTACATACGTGCATACAGAGCAATGATGAAGGACAAACGGCTCTGCCGCAAGCTTCCTGCCAGGCCTAGCAAGGATTTCATCGCATTACCCTCCAAGAAACTTCTCCGAAATAACCCAGGTAACCCCGAGTGAAGAGTCCTGAAAGGTACCAAAACCAGTAGAGTTTACTCACTTGAGAGTCATACCTGTAAACCTCAAGCCCTAAACCCCAAGATTGACCCTAACCCCCGGTGTTTCTCCTCCTCCAGATCTCCTTTCGCCTGGAGTAGCTTGGCCCAGGCATCCACAGCGAAAAGAGTCCTAGTGCTCTTGAGGAAGGTTGAGGTCCATGCATGGGGGTTGGGATCTTCGTCTTCAGATCAGGAATTCGCGGCTTACACTTCGATTGGGGTCGAAAGTCTGAGTCAGGTGGGCACTGCAGGGGTAGTCTCAGGCTCTGAGCTAAACTTCGAAACCGAGATCCTAAACCCCAAACCCTTGGGCCCTGTTGCGCTCCGAGTAGTCCCCCCACACTGTAATCAATTTGAGGATCTGAGCTCTTGAGAGTTAGGCCGTGTCAGGATGAGGGTTGACCTTTCAATCAAACAGCCTCGCCCTTGAAGCCTAGATTCTCCTCAACCCTAATCACGCCAATCCGGCCGGGATAAAGGTCGGCTGACAAAATTATTGTTACATCCAGCGATGTCACGAACCGGATCTCTTGACGTTGGTCCCCTCTTCATCTGGTCACTATCGTTACTACTTGTACTGCATTGCTGGCACTTTTCTGCGGTGGATGTCGTTGCGATGCAATCACAAGCCGTGCCTTGGTGTGTGTGTCGCGGTCGAATTCGGATGAAGATGACATCTCTTGTTGCATGTAGTTGCAAATTGCTATCAACGCTGGCCTTCCTTCCATATATAGATCCCGAAACCTAAATCCCGCAAACCCTGAACCCCGAACCCTATCAACCCGGACGCCCTGAACGCCTATGTAGCCTTGAACCTGTACAGGATATAGCCCCCAGTCCTTGGATGTACTGGCCCCAACTGCTGCTCGTAGCCCTCGAGAACCTCTCGAAGCACGGCTTCGGCCTCGATGCGCTATTCACTGTTGCCTACATTTTAAGTGGGCGTGTTTAGCGCTTCAGGGTAGTGGTGGATGATTGTTGTCTAATTAGGTTTTGGGGTTTCGGGTACAGGCTGCGAAGGGCTTGAAGGTTGTTGGTGGGGTTGAGCAAACCGAAGGGCCAATGTCCCCGCCATGACTAGAACTCAAAACACCAGGCGCTGCGTCTCTGATGTCTCGAAGGACCCATGTAAGTAGGCGTTGCGGAGGCCACAAAACTTATGGCGAGCCTCTGTACTTACAAGTTAACGTTGTGAAGCAAGTACCTACAACTTAAGACTTGTTGGGAACCTGGCTCGAATTAAACAAAGCCTGGAAAACATGAAAAACAAATAAAACGAAAAACAATTCAATATCATGGATAGAAAACATACCAAAAACACACAGCAACCAACCTGGACTGCAAAAAAACAAATAAAAAACAACGCAAAACAACACAAACACATCCACTTGAGTACAACCCAAACCCCTGGGAGGGTGGCTTCCTGGGGCAGTGGAAGATACAGGCATTCAGTTTCCTGGTGCAGTGGAAAATACAAAAATACAAAACAATACAAAACAAATAAGCAAAACTAGTACCAAACAGCTGAAAACATTTAAAAAACAAATACAAATCGGTGAAACAAATATGATAAAAAGAAGCAGCAAATAACAATTCAGTTTCCTGGGGCAGTGGAAAATACAAAAAATACAAACTACAATTTAAACAAATACAAAAAAGCTGAACATATCTAAAAACGTATGAATAAAGCACAAATAAGTGGAACAATATGAAAAGGTAACCAGCAAAGAAAACATTTCAGTTCCCTTGGGCAGTGGAACATGCAAAAAAAAAGAACAATATCAAACAATTTAAGCAACACAAAACAGCTGAAAACATAGGACAAATATGAAAAAGTACAAATAGGTGGAAAAATAAGGACGAAACAACAATGTCAATTCAGTTTAGCAAGCAGGAACACAAGAAACATATCAAAAAAAACAACCAACACTTGCTGCATTGTTTTGTTGTTTTGTTCTTGTATTTTTGGAACTGTCTTGTTTTTCGTGTTGTTTTCATACGGAAAGATAATAAGTCGTTGATTTCCAATGAGTTGCAGGCCTGTTGATGTCACTGTGTTAATGATGAGCAGCACAAGAAAAGATTCTGAAGGGGATCTGGTGGCCACACCTAGTGTCTGCATAAACTAACCAATGCATGCAGCTCAAAAAAAACGAAAGCCCCGTGGCGATCACTGCTGAAGCGCCAAACCTCTGAACACTTGCCCGAACGGCCCTGACCGCCAAACCTTCTGGACCTCAAGATCATCTGATGCCTCCGGCAACATACCGCGGCTGCGCAGAGATGTACCGAGCCTCGCAATGGCCATCTGTGAGCAGGCCATATGGAGGTCCAAAAGCACAGCAATTTGTTACTGATGCACGTGTTCCTGTGTTTTGCGCGTGTGCGTGCGAATGTATACGACGTATAAGAGTGGTTTTACAAACAACACTGGTTCTGTGCCCGGACGTGCTTCTGTTCGCAGATGCAGTCAGACTGACGGACAGCAAACACACACACACACAAAGCCAAAACCATGGGCCTGTTATATTGATCGCAGCGTTAGCGAAATTGCCGATCGGGGTCAACAATTTTTAGAAACCTTGGGACATCTACTGAAACCCGAAAGCCCAAAAAGTCTCGTAAAGCCCTGAACGCCTGAAGCCCAGACCTACCCCAAAGCACTTTCTTCCAAATTTGGGTGCCGCCTGGCTCTGGCAAGAAGGGTTGTCAAGTGTCGCTCGCCCTTTCCTCAGATGTGGAAGGCTCCAAAGCCCTGCAGCAAAACCGCCCCGAGACCCTTAGCCTCTCAAGTTTAAACTCCTCATCCCTACACCCACGATCCTAAATCTCCGGACTCCCGGGGCATGCCAAGGTTTACGGATGAGGGCTCTGTCCTCTGGGCGCTTAGGTTTAAAGGCTTGGTGCCGCCTGTCCGAAAGCGGGATCACATGACGTCAAGCAGTTGCCATTCACAAGACAAGTGCGCCGAAGAAAAAGACCTGGATTTTGGGGGATGGTCCACTACGGCAGTATAGGGCCCTTGGAGTAATACTTACCATTCCTGACCATGGGGCCTTTGACACCTGCCCTCGTTTCACTGCGGCGTTAGGTGCTCACACATGAAATCGCAGTCCGCTCGGAAACGGGGCAGGATGTCGGGACACCCTAGGACCGTGTACCACACGCCAATACGCTTAGATCTGTGTACTGTACCCTCGGGAAAAACCAGCTGACTGCTTTAAAACGGCTGAGGACACCCATAGGACCTGGGATCAGGGCTGGGCTCTACAAATTGCCCCCTCTCCCATCCATCGGAGATTCGCTTGGCGATAGAACGAGCACGAAGCTGGAGCCTTGGCAAAGTCTGTGTTGGGCTTGACAGTTCTGCTCTCAAACATGAAAATGCCACGGTGATATCAATGGGGCTGACGACGAGGAAGGATGATAATAAAGTCATGAGGAAGCAATGGATTAAGACGATGGTCACGATGAGTGAAAAGCATCAGCAGTGTTGTGATGATGATCAAGACCATGGTGATGATGAGTGAGTGATGGTGATAGTGATAGTGCTGGTGCTGGTGATGATGATGACGATGACGATGCTGTCGGTGATGATGATGATGATGATGATGGTGATGATGGTGATGATGAAGATGATGATGATGATGATGATTGATGAGGATGATGATGATGATGATGACGATGATTGAATATGATTGATGATGATGATGCTGATGATGATGATGATAATGGCGGTTGTGGTGGTGGTGGTGGTGGTGGCGGTGGCGGCGGGGCGGTGGTGGTGGTGTGGCGGTGGTGTGATGAGGATGATGAAGAGGATGATGACCAGGATGATGGACAAGATACTGCAAGGGTAAAGATGATGACGGCGATAGTGTCGCCCTAGTGCTCGCGCCCGCTGCTTGAATATCCCACGGTTCTTCTCACAAAATCTTAATATCGGTGCCGGCAAAATCGGACGGTGCTCTGCGCCTCGGCAATGTCTCTACTTGAGGGCCGAACTCTGAACGGTTCTGTTGGACAACATCCTGGAAACCACACGGAATATTGCGGTCCAGGCTCGTGTCCATCAGTCGATCCAGGGCGATTTTTACAGCCCTACCGCCATCAGCAAATTGAATGACGACCTTGGATGCACTACATCAGCGACCATCGAGTACCTCCTTGACTGACTGACACACAGCTGGACAGGACCACTGCAGCCAAATGGGGGGTGGGGGTGCTCAATCTTGTACAAGGTGCCCTAAATCCAAAGCACATAGTAGAATAGAAGTCTAAACCCCACCCGTAAACAAGTTTCCTAATCCCAATCCCCAAAACCACGGTATCGATTTCTGGAAGGTTCCCGAATCCAAAAACCCGCAAAGGAGAACCTCATTCCACGAGGTTCCCTGCACACAAGAACCCAACCCCGGGAGCCCAATTCAATCTATGGGGCTTTACGATTCAACATGCCAAGCGTGTAACAAACAAAAGCTAGTAAGTTTAAGGCGTGAAGCATTGGGTATTTAGGACTTTTATAGGGTTTAAGAATAACTGCATAGCTGGAAGCCCTGAAGAACGCCAGCACCCTCAGAATTTTGGAGTTTCTTCGTTCGACCCATTCAAGCTCCAAGCCCTACTCAAGCCCAACACAAAGCAGAGTCAGCCAGAGTGCGCAGGTCCGCGGAACAGTGCCGGGTTTGTTGAGCACCACACCTCGAAGATTCCTCCGAAAAGGGCGGCAAGTTAACCTAATCTAGCCAGCTGTGCATATCGAAGAGGTTAATGGTTTGGAGCATCTTTGACCTCACAGGCCTACACGAAGGGTCCAAGCTGTCCAGAGTCCAAACCTATACTTGGCACGAGACCTAGTCGTCCGGCCGGTGAGGCTTACACATCACCTGCCCGCGATACAGGGTTGGTTGCTGCACAACCTTTTGAACGCCGAATAGAGGGCCCTTGAGCCCAAAACCATCTCAGCAAAGGCTTGAAGAAGGCACAAGTACTCGAAACCTGTAGCCCGTCGGCCGCTGTCCTTCCAGGAGCTCGCCCCGCCTGCGTTGGCAATCTCTTCAATTCTTGCAACAGATTTGGCTAGAAGTGGTTCTGCCAAACGGACTCTGAGACCTTGCTGGGGCGAGGACTCTTTTGCTTTCGGCCTGAAGCCTGGAGGTCAAGAGCCAGGCTGCCGAAGCAGTCGCTCCCCAGACCCTGAGGCACGGAACTCTCCCCCTGAAATGAAGGAACCCTGTGCGCCACCAACGAGCACACCCGCAAGGCCTAAACCTTGAGGCCGATTTAAACCCAAACCCGGAAACCTACAAACTCTGAACCTACAACCCGACCACTTGCCTTTGTCAATTTGTATTCGGATGCAAAGAGGCGGAGTGCGACGGTTGGGAGATCAGGCTGGGATTCGGACAGTTTGCTCGGGGCACCGCTGGGCTTCGGGTCGGCTTCGGACGGTCTTGGACTCGACGAGGTGCTGACGCCTCGAAACATCTTGAGACGACTTCAACGCCATCGGCACTTGTTTTGGGCCCAGTAGAGGTCGGAACCGTCGGAGTAGATCATGTCGGCAAAGAGATCCTGGCTCCACCACACTCCGGTCCATGCGGGTGGCACTGGGCAACGCTCCTGGATGGCCTGAGCCCATCCCACGTACCCCTGAAGCCGATGCTTCATCCACCGCAGGCCCCCATAATCTCGAGGCCAGGGACCACCACGGTCCGGCAGGCCAGGAACGGGTTCGGGCTTTGGGACAAAGACCCAAGAGCTGAGTCTGATATTCCGCATCTGCTCCCAAAAACCCTTGCCTTCATCGGAATCCCAGCCCCCATCTTGTGCGATGTTGCAGAGCTCTTGAATGCAGAAATCCCGGTACCATTTGGTGTAACCGCCAGGAATATTCTGCTCGATGAAGCCCTTGTCGCACTCTTCCGGTAGCAGTGGAGGCATGCCATGCTCGTAGTCGAAGACACATTGAATGCCCCGGAACCACTGGCACGCGCCGAATTTGTTGTGATGACGGTCGAAAACATAGCGATTCGTGCATGCATCGTATGATGTTAAAGTTCGGCAACCATCCGATCCGCCAATAAAGGTGCGCCCCCCAGCAGCCAGCAAGGGGCTGCTGTGTGCGGTTGCCCGCAGGCTCATCCACCGTCAGGATCCGCGTGGCCAAGGAGCTGCAGGTGAGGGCCACCGACAACAGCAGGAGTATGGAGACTGCCCACAGCAGAATAAGCAAACGACGAAGAAATGACTTGAGCTTCAGGCTTCGCAGGCTCGAGACTGCCGCAGAAGGCATAAAAAGGTACTTACGGCAACTGCAGCCAGACTGTGGGCTCTTACGATTGCACATCTACGCCAGGGCAGCAACAGCCTGTCTATATCGGTATCTAAAATATGATGTGCTTATGTAGATTATCCAGACCCGCAAAGCAACGCAAAGACCACTGAAGGGTCAAGCCAACAACTGCCTAAAATCACAGCCTTCTTCATCTCGGGCGTTTGCACTTTGGACCTCGTGCAGCGGAGGCCGACGGGATGCGAGCTGCAGGCAAGGTGTATGGATGCAGAGCATGCGGCTGTTCAGTTCTCATTTGCAATATCACTGAGCTGATCCTTCAACCGCAGCCAACATTAATATACCCGACCTATATCAGAATCCGACATGGCAACAAGCTTACCCTCTCTGCAGTATCAATGTCGATGGATGTGGCGGTGTATGGCCTAAAAGTCGTTCAGCTTCAAAGCTGAGGGGTGAGGCGAGGGGCTCCGGCTTCATGTATACTTGACTTGAATAAGTTCAGAGTTACAAGGGTTCAGCGAGGCTTACACAGGTAATGTAGGGGCCTCAATAGGGTTTTGGGGTATATTATACTGTAAGTCTATTAAGGAGCCCCCAAAAATAGTATAGGTAAGTATGAAGGCTCCTACATTAGTTGAAGAGCTGGTCAGAGCCTCAACAAATTTCACCGACCATTTGCTCAACCAACTCCCGCTTTGAAGTGGAGACCTGAAGCTCCAGCAACCCACTCACTTCGAAGTCCAATGGGTAATTTAAACTCCCGGAAACTCCATGAAAACGGGGGGGGGGGTTTAGGGCTCTTAGGGTTTCGGGGTCCTAAACTCCTAAACCCTACATCCCCCGAACCCGGCCCTGAAGCCGAGGTCCGCAACTCCCGGCCTGAAGGACTTCAACCCGAGAGCGCCCTTCAGCTGCCAAGGAGCACGTCGTACATGTTCGCAGGTGCCACGAGGATGGGTATGCAAAATGCGACCCGATGAGGATATGCCTTTCGAGATCTTTGGGCTGCTGGCTTTGAGGCTCGTGCTGAGTCGTGTTGCCACGACTTCGGGCTTCAAAGGCTCTTGGCTTCTTTCATGGGTCACACCTGCATAGCTGGAAACCTAGGACCACGAGGTAATGCGCAGGTCGAAAGGTTAACGGAGTCGCAATGAACATGTGCTGTGAAGCAGGCTGTCACTGCCCACAACAGCGATTCTCGAGTCTCCCTGACAGCTTACCAGCAACGCACATGGAGGCTTCAACCGTAGTAGAAGCCAGAAAGTTGGAACATCCTGTTTGCCCTTGTAATGAAGTACAAGGGATCCTAGCACTAATCCTCCTAAACCCATGTTCCAACTTTCTGGACTTCGCTGTAATGGAAAGGTCTGCCTGAGGGTCTGGCCGGCCCAGGCTGGCCATTAAGGGATTCTGGGGTTCTGCGTTTCGCGCTACAAATGCGATTGGGGTCTGCAGGGCCACGGCGTTTGCCTAAAAGCATAGGCGGTTGGGGTCATGCTTCGAGATTTGGGGTACAGGGTGCCAGGTTTAGGCTTGTTGGGCTCAGTCCAAGGCTTAGTGCAAACCCACGGACTTAGGGTCTTGTGATGTTGCTGCGGCAGTACGGTCTTGCCCAAGAAATCTCAGTGAAACTCAACCCGCATGGCACCTTTTTGACATAGTCCTCACCCTTGTCGTCATTGTTGTGGTCCTTCTTCATAAGGTTCCGGAAGTTGTTGTCGAGCAGTTCCGCTCTGTCCTGCGATTGCGGCAGAAGTGACATTCCAAGGCCTGAAGACTGCACTCCATGTTCAAGGGCCCCAAATTCCGAAGACACCTCGTTAAAGACGGAATTTCAATTCAGTCGTGTGATGCAGCGCTGTAGCACGGAGCTCCACTGCGGAGGGCTTTGGGGATTTGAAGGGACTTTCCTGAAGGATTAAGCTTAAACGGGCTGGGAGTTTTGGACTCTGCGCGTTTCGGCTAGAGTGCAAACTCTCTGAGCCTGTCAAGCACTTGAGGCACGCATAACAGATGGATGCGAAAGTTGGAGGGGTCATATTGTGCCTGGCTCTACAGGAAGGGCCCAGTATCTCATGGTCAAATCTCGGTACCGGTTAACCACCAAACCTTGAACCCCAAACTTGGCCCTAAACTCTGCGCCGCACCTTCCACTCATCAGGAGCCTTGGGCACGGTGTACAGACCTCGGAACAGCCGATGGAGAGCTCGACAATTGGATCCCTTTGTCCCAGAAGTTTTTTGGAGCGGTTCCATGCTATGGTGCCCACGGGGATCTCGATTTGATAACCTGATGGAAAGTGCTGTTCTGAAAACTATGGTCTGATCCCATTCAGGCCCCTCGTGTAGCAAAACTGTGCCTACTATTAGTTGCACTTACACCATGACTCGATCGAAAGTCTACCCGCCCGGGCCCAAGCACTTCAGGGTTGTGCTTAGGGTTTAGGACCATAATAACTGCTAATCCCAGTTACGGGAAAGCCTAAGAAGCAACACCGAAACACTTTCCTCAAGGACTTTTGGGGTTTAAGAACGCATTGAGCTCTTGGATGTGGGTGTATTGTTGAGCTCACAAGGTTAGGGGCTTAACGTGGGTTTAAGACACTTAGGAATGTTTGGGCTGGAGCTTCCCACTGATGACCCCATTACGCGAGAATCCAACTCCTGCAACAGCCCCCATTTCCAAACCTTTCCAGGCCTATGAGGCTACTGCTTGGGGTCTTGGGAAGACAGGCAGGAGGTGCTCTGGGTAGTAGGATGCAGTGTTTGAGCGGCTTAGGGGATTAGAGAGCACTGTGGGCGTCGGGACTTCAGGCTTCGAAGGGGGCGATCTGAGATCGATTCTAATCGAAACGAGAACCAGCTGCTGGACCCATCAATGTGGGGCAAGGAGGAACCTCGAAAGTCAGGAAACTCGGAGTGTTGCGACACCGCCTGGGAGCCTGAATGAAGCCCTTAGAGCAAAACCAGGGTGTAGAAAAGCCAGGTGCAGCCACTGCGCCCGAAACCCTGTCCCTGGAACCTGAGATCCATGAACAGACTTTGCTCTAAAACCCCCTCTCTCCCAAACCCTCAAGCCGGAACCCTATATAGTACCTTCTATAAAAAAAAACGTCATAGTACCCCTAACATACCCTCAAAATAGAACCCTTCTAGTGACCCCCAAGCCTGGCCCCTTCGCCAAGGGACCTGAACCGAACCAGGCGGTACCAGGATCGCTCTTCAAGGCCGCCTCAGAGAGCAGAGGTTATGCTGAGGTTTAGGGCCGTTTAGGGTTCAAGGTTGAAGGCCTCGGGGAAATATGGGAAGCTTAGGGGTTTATGGGGTTTAGGAGTTCAGGGCTTAAGGGGCTGTGTGAGTTTGCCAGGTTGCCTTCTTAATCGGCTCTTGGCTTCGAAAAGTTTCAGGGTCTAGGGCCTTGGAGTGTGTAAACTGAGTATCATTCGCGATTTTGGCTTCTGCAAGAGGGCCCAGACATTTTTCGGCTAGGGTCTGTAGAAGACATGCAAAGTTTAGAGTTTAGAGTGTAGGATAGTGTAGTCTGGCTAAGTGTAGCTCATCATGCGGCTATTCGAGTTGAGGGCCGTTTGGGTGCAGGGTGAGGGGTCTTAGAGCCTGAAAGAGCGTAAATGGTGCTTACCAGACGTCTTCTGGTGCTTAGGCTTTGTATATGGGCAATCGAATCTGCGCACCAGTAACATTCTCCGCGGGTCGTGACCCGCTGCTGCTTAGCTAACCGGTTGCTGTGGGCAGTTAGGGCTAAGTCGAGGGCAGAGCCTCACAACTGTCTCCAAAGTAGTTTAACGGTTTTCCCAAGTCCGAATAGCTCTCCCGCGCACATGAGCTTCTATCTTTCCGACAATTGGGGCTCCTGTTAGGTTACTCACTGCAGGTAAATGCGAAGTACGATTTTCTGAAACCCGATACCGGACCCTAACGTCGCCTGCGACAAAGACTGATTCACGCTTACGCTTCTGCCCGTTGGGGTGGATGGGCGCTTCTATATCACTGGAAGAACTTCAGGTTTGAAGGCACGGGTTGGAAAAGAGTGCATCGTATGACCGAACCATGATCGTTCGTCTGCCAAGGTCTAGAAGGCATTCAAAGTCTTGTTGGCATGCCTGGCCTACGAATTCTGCAGGAGTGGGATGCAAGGCGGGTTTTCAAATCTGAAATGGGGTTGGCTGAAAAGCTGAAGATTGCCACTCTTCCCTTAGCATCCGCATGGTCTTGTGCTTAGCATGTCTTTGGGTTTAGGGGCGTTGTCCTGTGGGTTTCGGAAGCAGCGCCTAGGACATCAGTTGCAAGACTTAGGGTCTGTAGGGTTGGCAGGGCAACTTCCTGAATCTGGTCCTGGCGACCCATACTTCCGCCGGCTGCTTCTCTTCGGAAGTCACTTCCCGGAAGGTCAGCTCCTGGGATGGTTTAGGAGTGCAGGCGCATGTCTGCCTGGAACGAGCCAACCTCCCTGCATGTCTTGTCTCGGATCTCGAACTGCAATGGTGTCGAGAGTGTGTGGGATATGGCTTTGACGGCTCGTTGCTTGGAAGGCAACTCGGCAGTTGTTGTAAAGAGCCCACAACAGTGAAGCTGGCACATGTCCCTTTTGACTGCATGTACTTTTGATTGAATTCCAATGGTCTCAGCTTCTCCTGATGGTATTCAACGCTGTTGGCATTGCAAGCCGCAGAAAAGTCAATTTCAAAATTTGTGTCAATCAGAGCTTGAAGTCCCGATTCGCTATGGCTCCGGAAAGTCAGTGATGCTCAACACTACTCTACCACCATTAACGTCCTTGGATGATAGTGCACTCTTGATACGGCATGGCTGCTTGCAGGCGGGAAGCGCTGGTGTAATGGAACACGACCCGGCTGTCCTCCAGGCAGATATCAGACCAGAATATCTCGAATGGAATTATGGCCATAGACCCAACTCTAAATACATCCCGGCCCATGAAGCCCTTCGCACTGTACTCGGTTTTGTTGCAAGATCAGTCCGGCTGACCCAATGACAGGTCCAATGCATCCGCCCAGACCTTGGCCAGTCAGCTATCCGTTGCTTCGGGGGCTTGTGACAAGGACAGTTGAAGTTGAAGTCCTGTTCATTAACCATTCAATACTGGAGGAGTACTAGACTTTGGGTTTAGGGTGTCTCACTACTAATTCAAAGCACGACGGCCGCGCTCCGGCGGGATGGCTTGAAGGAGGCTGCATT